AAAATCATATTATATTCTAATCACACTGAAACGATTATAAAATATTTTGTAACTAATCTAAATAATCACAAAACACAGAATAGGAGCAGGCATCTCGTTTATTGATGCAGCGAGCGTAAAGCGTTACAAAAACAGCATTACAGTTTTACAAACTCAGAGGAAATTACAACAGTTAATAAGATAAAAAGCTAGGGTTGAAAGAGATGCCTCGAATGGCTCTTGCATATACTTAATGAACCTTAAATAGTGTACTAGCCCCCTGAGACACCTTACAGGCACGCTTAAAACACTCCAGCAGTATTAAATTTATGCAACCTACTATACATACCGTTGTGAAACTAACAAAACGTTACAAAATATGTTTTCAAATTGTAATGTGTACTCCTAGAAAGTCAGCAGCTTAATAGTCAATTTCTAACTTCATCAGTTGACTCTCTTTTGACAGCATGTTACTAGCATTTAAAGTGCTCTGTTGTCCAATAATACTGTTTAGTTTATTTTTGTTTTCAATCGAAGAAATTGCTATTTTCATGGGCCACACTGGCAAAGCAATCCCCATTAGCATACATTGAGCCCTGGCAACAAATAAAAATGTACCATATACCTGGTAATGCAATGATAAGTTTTCTAATTTCTTCACAAACTGTAGACAGCAAAGTTGATGCCTTCTTTAGTCTTGCTATCATAGTTGGAACTGCAAGAAAAATTATTTTACAATTTAGGACAGTGAAAATGGGTATTATTAATATAAAAACTAAGGAGGAAAAGAAAAATATACACACAGTCACATTATAGACAAGAGAGAAATAATCTTGAGAAGGAATTTGTTATTCATACCAAATCTGTAAAACAAGTGTTTACCATAATGCAATAAAGCATCAGTGAGAACATCAACTCTTTTATCAACAGACATTTCTTTAGTGATGGTAGAGAACTGACACAGGTAAGACCTAAATCTTTCAACACCTTCACCATCTGTCAATCCTATATTGGGTGTTCGCATTGGACTAAACTGGACCTGGAGTTAACCATAAATCTATCAATAATTAGCAAATGTCGGGTGGCTACTGACAATGACTATTGAACTAAAATAATTATGTACATACATGTACAGTGTATTATCATTATTATCATTATTATTATTATGCATTACTGTAGTTGTTTTGACTCTCAAAATTACTCTGGTAATTTTTAAATACAAGGACGAAGTGTTGAATGTCGTCACAATACACTCCAAATCAGTAATAACATATACATATATGTTTTGGTAGGGGAAGGCAAAAATTGAGAATTCCACCCAGGTGAAGTTCTACCAATACTGCTTTTTCCAGTTATTCCCTTTCAGAATTTACTCATCAGATGC